CCAGCCGGTGCCTCGCACCCCGCTGAGCTCATGCCCCGGCTCCGGCTGTCACGGGCGCAGCTGCGGGAGCGGGCACGGGGCTGTCCCCGCGGGCAGGGCGGACCCGGCGGGAGGGACATTCCCGTTTTCCCGGGGGGAATTCACCCAACGTCCCGGCGAGGCGGGGGACGCGCCAGCCCCGCGGTGCCACCGGAGCCGGCACGGCGGGGACGTCAGGCGGAGGCTCGGGTTACGCTGCCTTTTGTCCCGGCGACACCTGGCAGGTGCCACCGCGCCCGGGTGGCAGCGCCGCTGGGCTCGGGGGGCGCGGGGCTCGGAGACCCCTCCCCAACTCCAGCCAGGGTCGGGTCTCTGTCACCTCCGTGACCCCGCGGTGTCCCCGCGTGGGGTGGCGGTCACCCAAGGGAGGGGGGAGATGGCGGAGAAGCCCCCGCCGGGACCCCCTCCCCAAAAGCCAGAGCCACTGGGACCAGTCAGAGCGCTGGGAAAACGCGGAGTGGGGGGCTCAGAGGGGGCTGGGGGGCTCCGGGACACCCCTGGGGACAGCCCCAGCCCCGGGGGTCACAGCCGGGCTCCAGGGGACCGAACCCAGCAGTGGCTGAGGAGCCCCCTCCCCAAAACACCCCCCGATGGAGCAAAGGGGCCGGGAAGAAGGAGATTTTGGGGAAGGGGAGGTTTGGGATTGGCTGGGCGGGGTGGGAGAGGGGAATTTTGGGGTGGGAAGGGGAATTTGGGGGTGGGTACGGGGGGCTTTGAGGGGGTTTTTTACCCCCTGGTCCTGCCAGCCTCGTGCTGCCCACAAAGGGCACGGGGGGGACACGGGGAGCACCGAGGAGGCTCCGAAACCCCCCCCAAAATCCCCCCAAAAAGCTGCGGGGGCCGAAGGCAGCGGCTGAAGCCCCCTCCTCCTCCTCCTGCTGCTGCTGCCGCTGCTGCTCGTGGGGCCGGGGGCGGCGGGGCTGGGATGCAGGGATGGGGATGGGGTTGTCATGGCAACCCCGCATCCAGCCTCAGCGCTGCCGCACCGCAGCGCATCCACACCCTCCCCCCCCCCCCCCGG